TGGATCTAAACTATATATTTTGATAATTGGTAGGCTTCGAAACAACAGCTATTATATATTTTTGTGATTGCATAGTTTTGTCTGTTTTAAAAGTTTTGTTACGATTTCCATTTTTTTATTTTAGGAGGCAGAATTGTTAGAAACCTTTTTGCAGCAAGCTCAATCTGAGCTGGAAAATACCTCTCACTCAGATCTTATTTCACGGTCTCCAGAATTGCTTTCAATGCTTAATGAGGTACTTCACAAACCAATGACATCCTTTGAATCTGCGCCGATTCGAGCTGAGTTTGCCAGGTTATTATAACTGCCTATCTTACTTATCTTTTTAAGTACATTTTCCCATAATTTTTTGCTTAACTTTATCCAGCTTTTTATACTTTAAAAAAAAGATGCGATACACAAAGATTTAATCCTCAAACTCTTTCTTTCTAAAACGAAAATCGTCCACTAATTTGTAGCAGTTAGAATACTTAAAGCCTGGTCACACGCCTCCATGCATAATCTTTCATCACCCAGGACTCTTCGGAAATATTGTTCTTTCAACTGAACCCTAGTTCCTGCTGTTGATTATTCTTATCATTTACATTTTTCCTTACATTACTCCTTATCCCCCCTCGTTTGATTCAATCAGCATATTCAACATACTTGCAAAATTATTCATATAGAAAAGCACTCCCATGTTTGAACTATCAAATATAGACTCATCAAAGTTGTTCTACTCGCCTGATAGCTATTAACATTGCCAGAATTTCCAGAATTTTCTGGACAGAACCCATTTAATGCACTGCACCTTATTTTTGAATATACCTTCTGATCTTAGATCAAATGCAGTATCGACCTCGTATTTCACTCCTGAAGTATTTGCAATAGGTAGATGTCCATCGCAAGGCAATAAAATTATTATTTAATCAATGCAAAAGTGCCAACGGGCATATGCGAATTCGATGAAGATAGACTCTCTTCAACTGACTTTTATATTGAGGCTCGATATCTCTGAAGCGAACTTTATTGTAGCAATTATGATCTTTTCAGTCTATATAAAGTTCATTTTAGTGGATTTCTGGTTAACAATAAATAATCTCTTTGTTTGCCATTTAGATATTTATTTTAGCCGAATACTTATAAGAGACCTGTCTTGCATGTAATGGCTATTTGTTTTGCATCTATTAGGAGCCTGTTTGTTGTTGAGGGTCAACGGCTTTGCAATAAATTCAATTACGCCTTCTTAATTTCACTTATCTATGTATCCCAAAAAACCGTTTTCATTGCCTTCATAAGTGCCTCTTAAGACAGTGGTTCCCAAACTTTTCCTAGTCGCGGCGCCCTTTTTCAATTAAAATTTTTCCATGGCGCCCTACCATAAGTATGACTATTCGTAAGTGCGAGATAAAAAAAACTCGTGTATCTTCATTATTTTTTTTACTTTATTAACATTTAATTAATATTTAATCATTTATGTGATGGATGAGCTTGAAAATCACTGCACATTTTCTCAAATTGAAGTTTTTACAATATTTCGCGGGTCCCTGGGGCGCCGCGGCGCACAGTTTTGGAATTACTGGCTTAAGGGATTCTTACGATATATTTGAGAGTTTGGAGGACAATACCTTAGTATTACTATAATGCGTTGTAAGATAGGCTTAAAAGGCAATTTAAACCTCTTTGAATTCACTTGCCTTAATTTCTTAATCAGGTGATTAACACGAAGCTTCCTATCCCATGATAGTTTGCTTTTTTTATTCACAGTGACTATGATCGTATAGTTTATGAGGTGAACTCCCTCCTACCCCGCGTATCTGTAGCTCGGATCGCCCTGTAAGTTTTAATGAAAACTGGGCGAATATTTTATGAAGTCCAGTTTTAGTAAGAAAGGTCTTGCCGGCTGCTTAGCTAAGTAAAACGCTGCTAAATTATGCATTCTTCGTGAAAAGATGCATAAACCAACTAGCCTAGTATATTTTTACAAAGGGTGTGTTTTTCTAAAAACCTCAAGTGTAGCACAAATCTACCATTTTCCAAAGTACAATGACAATTTTTTGATGAGCTTGACCTGATTTCTAATCTTACACCTGAGACTTAGTCGGAGTCCGACCAAATTTTATCTGAGATCATAAAATTTGTGGGATAGGGAATTAGGGGAATTCTAGTTGCCAATAGGCGTGAATCAAAATCATTAAGGAAATCAAAATATCATGCCTTAGAATCCTTTAATGATATAAGTTTCTATTCTTCCTATTTTTGAATATTATAATTTTCGTCTTTTTTATATGAATAAGAAGCATCTTATTATTGTAAACCTTTCAGTCCAATTCTATAGTTATAAATCATTTTAAGGCTCTTCTGCTTGCTTTAAATCTTATTACATCATTTCAATGTTTTTTTAAGCGAAATTGTTCCCTCATACGACTCTTCTGAGTTTGTACTTCAACGCTACTCACAGTTGCAACAACGAGCGGATCCTGTCTACAGTGATCCACTTCATGTCGCTGGCTTGAGCTGGCGCCTGAAGGTCTATCCAGATGGAAATGGTGTGGTTCGTGGCAGCTACCTCTCTGTTTTCTTAGAGCTTTCAGCTGGCTTGTTAGAAACGTCAAAGTAATGTCTTTCTTTAAAAAAAATGCTATTTTGTAGAGCAAAAATTAAATACAATATTTTTTATTTTATCTAAATTTTCAGTTTCTTTATACTGTTACTATAGAGGTTTTATTTGATTTAACTTCCAATGATGCATAGATTATGGCCTT